GCGGAGCCTCCAGGTGGAGGCCACAGTAGTGCAAAGGCCCTGGGGCAGGAGTAGGCTGAGTGTGGTCTTTGGCCCCAGAGCACAGAGCAAGGGAGCAGCAGGAGGTGGGATGGAGAGGGAGTGGGAGGTGGGGAGGGAGCGGGACAGGGGTCCTCTCAGACCTCGGCAGGGCTTTAGGTCTCACCTGGGCGGTAGGGAGCCAGTGCAGAACTTTGAACAGAGGGTTGATGTTTTAAAGTCACAGTAGCTCAATAGAGGCCTCTACCCACAAGATGCTGGCAGCAACCACCCCCCCAAGTGTGGCAAACCAAAAATGTCTCCAGATGTTGCCTGGCAGACAGAACTGTCCCGCTGAGATCCACTGCCCGAGGGCCCTCCTGTCCCTACCTCCCCTCCCTCCCCCCCCCCCCCCCCCCGTCCCAGCACAGGCTCAGCCCCTCTCACTGGGACACTTGTGACAGCGTCCTGAAGCCCCTGCCCCTACTCCATCCTCCAGGCACACCTACCATGCCACCCTCCCAGCTTTACCGCCCTCTGTGGGCCTGAGGGTAAATGCCAAGCCCTGCTGCCTCCCAGCTGTGCAGCGTGCTCCCCCCCCCCCCATTCCATGCGGAGCTGCATGCTGGGCATTTCAGACAGGGACAAGTACCCCGCTGGCCCTCACCTGTGTCTTCTGTCCAGGGCAGGGAGAGCGGGTCCCATCGGTCCCCTCGCCTGGGAGCTGGGCTCTACAGAGTGGGTGGGGGCGGCCGAGGGCAGCGGGGAAGCCGGGCAGTGATGGGCAGAGGCCGAGAGGATCGGAAAGCTGTGGCTGGGTTTGGGCCCAGCAAAGCACTGAGAATGCAAGTGTGAAGAGGGGTGGACCGCAGGGAGCAAAGGGTTAAATGTGAGGGGGTGGCCTGAACAAGGGGGGGGCAGGAGGTCCTGGCTCAGGCAGATCGGTGGAGCCTGCCCTTCCCTTCGCCTGTCAAATCCCCCCCCTCCTCAAGCCTCCTCCCTGCTCAGTCTCCAAACCTGTTACAGCAGCAGCACCCCATCTTTGTGGTTGGGGTCTGTTGTTACTCCTGCCGCCCCCCTCTCCCCCCCGTGAATTCACGGAGGGAGAGGGACTGATCCTTGGTCAATGGCAGGTTAACTCAGCAGACGCCCCAGCTCCAGCCTGGGCCACCGGGTCAGGGTCAAGGCCACAGGGAGCGGAAGCACAGGGTTCACTGGCTCCCACGTTGGCCCAGCCCATCCTGCCGGAACACATTTGCTGCGCCTCAGCCAGCACACAGCCTGCTGGTGCCAACCGCCCCCTGCAGCCTCCCACTCCCCCAGGTCTCTCTCCCTCTCTCTCTCTCTCTCTCACACACACACACACACACACACACACACGCACGCACGCACACACGCCAAAGTCCCCCCTCCACACACACACACACACACACACACACACGCACACACACACACACATGCCAAAGCCCCCCTCCACACACACACACACATGCACACACACGCATGCACACACGCCAAAGTCCCCCCTACACACAGACACACACACACAGACACACACACGCCAAAGTCCCCCCTCCACACACACACACACACACACACGCACACACGCACACACGCACACACGCCAAAGTTCCCCCTCCACACACACACACACACACGCACACACACACGCCAAAGTCCCCCCCTCCACACACATACACACACACACATGCCAAAGTCCCCCCTCCACACACACACACACACACACACATGCCAAAGCCCCCCCTCCACACACACACACACACACACACACACGCTGAAGTTGCCCACACATACATGATCAGCTGCCCACTTGCCTTCAATGGGACCTTCGGGGGCCCCACAGCCCAAGGTCACCCTCGCCCTCTCCAGCCCCGGGGCAGGGCGGGCATTCCACTGCCCAAGGTGCAAAGGTGCTCCTGGTGCTGGAGACTGTGGCGCATCCTCCTCCCCCGCAGCCCCAGCCTCCCCAGGGGCCGCCCTGCTCCACCACCCCCCCCCCCCCCCGCCCCGTCCCCACCCCTTCCCTGCAACCTCTTCTCCACTCAGGGGAGAGTTGTTTTGTTTGTTTGTTTTTTAATGTTTGTATTTATTCCAGAGAAGGAGAGAGACAGAAACGTCAATGATGAGAGAGAATCATTGATCAGCTGCCTCCTGCACTCGCCCCTACCAGGGATCAAGCCTGCAACCCAGGCCTGTGCCCTTGGCTGGAACCGAACCCGGGGCCCTTACGTCCACAGGCCAACGCTCTATCCACTGAGCCAAACCAGCGAGGGCAGGGGGAGAGTTTTTAAAATTTATTTATTTATTTATTTATTTATTTATTTATTTATTTATTTATTTATTTTGGGGGGGGGGGCATCAGTTCGTTGTTCCACTTATTGATGATGCACTGGCTGCTGCTTGCACGTGCCTGATGGGATGGAACCCGCAACCTTGGCCCATCAGGGCGACACTCTGACCAGCTGAGCTGCGGGCCAGGGCCCAGGGGGACTTTCAGACGGTAAACCACATCTCGTCACGTGTCACTGATAAAACGTCAGCTCAGCCCAGTATCCCGTTTCCCCTCCTTCCTGGCCTCCTGCCCACTCCCTCCCAGCCCCCAGGTGCTCCCGCCTGGTCCCCAGCCCCCAGGTGCTCCCGCCTGGTCCCCAGCCCCCAGGTGCTCCCCTGCAGGGCGTTGGCCCAGGCCGAGCTCCCGCCGTCAGGCCGCCCCGCCCCTGGTCCGCCTGCCCTGGCGCCCGTGCGTGCACACCCATCGTTGTCTGACAGCCTCATCTCCCATCGCACTGTCCCTCCCTGACCTCTTACGCCTATTGTTACCCCCGGGAATGATGAACGCTCAGAAAGGTGAAGGCTCTTTAGCTGTGTTCACATCTCTGTTCCTCAGCGCCTGGAACAGGACGGGGTAGCAGATGCTTACTAAATGCTGTTCCAGGCCACACTGCACCTCCTGCAGCCACCGAAGCCGGATCCCCCCATTTCACGGCATAGGAATGAGATTCAGAGGGTGGGCCCCTCTGCAGCCAGCCCTGCCCCCTCTGCCTGTCTGCTCCCGTCTCACTTCTCACCTGGAAATAGTACAGCAAGTGTGCCCCCCCCCTTTGGGCCAGATAGAAAGAGGCACCCTCCCGGGTCTCAGAGCCCTCTCACCCTGAGCAGGGCAGCGCCCACCTGGCACGGGACAGCAACTGTAAATGCCACCCAGTGCCCAGTCTGACCCTCAGATGCGCCTTCATTTGGGCAGGGCCTCTCCGTGTGTGAGCTGAGCCCAGCCTGTGCGCTTGGCCGCCGGGCCCTGTCCCCACAGCCCTGGCCACCCACCCAGAGCCGGCCCAGGCCCCCGAGAGCCGGCCAGACCCTGCCGTGCCAGCTTCCTGTTCCTGCCTCGGCAGCCGCCCCCATCCTGCCCCTCCACCCCACCCTCCTCTCCGCGGTCCTGGGAAGCGGTGGGGGTGATGCAGAGGTGGCATGGCCTTCAGTGGACAGGAAGGAGCAGAGTCCCCGTCGGTGAGCCGGGAGCCCTGCCCCCATCTCCTCAGCCTGAGCCGAGGGCCTGGCCCTCCCCCCACCACCAACCTCCCCCCCCCCCCCCCTGCACAGCTGCCCCAGGTGGGGCCGGTCAGGAAGGGGAGGGAGAGGTGTCCTCTGGGGTCTCTGCAGGGAGAGCAGCCGTCTAGGCCCAACCGCCTTCCCGCGGCCAGGGCTCTGGGGGAGCACTAGAGCACAGGTGAGTCTCAGCCTCAGACTGCTTCCCGCCAACTCAGGGGGCAGCCCAGACCGCCTGGCCCCAGCCCCCAGCCCCAGCCCCTAGCCCCCAGCCCCCAGCCCCCAGCCCCAGCCCCCAGCCCCAGCCCCCAGCCCCAGCCCCAGCCACAGCCTCCAGCCCCAACCCCTGGCCCCAGCCCCAGCCCCCAGCCCCCAGCCCCCAGCCCCACGGCTGAGCCAGGCATGCGGGAAGAAAGCCCCAGCTCCATGGGGTCGAAGGGGGGACTCCCCTCGCTAGCTGGGCTGGGCAGGGACAGGCCAGTCACTGCAGTCCCCCTGCACCACCCCACGCACGTGCCACCCACCCAACAAGCACTGTTATCAGCCACGTGATTGAGAGACCGCCGTGTTCTGCCTTTGAACTTCAGCTGTGCAGTAGGGTCAGGCAGCCATGGGGTGGGCTGGGGTGGGGGTGCCCATGGAGCAGGCCAGACCGCCATGAGAAGGCTGGGGCAACGTGAGTGCGCTCTCTCTCTCTCTCTCTCTCTCTCTCTCTCTCTCTCCTCAGAGCCTTGGACCACGGAAGGGAAGACAACAGCACCTCCTGGTGTCCAAACTGATCCCGTGTGAAGTGAGCCTCCCACTCCCGCCCCCTCGCTGCTGGGGGGGGGGGGGGCTGGCCTCCTGGACGGCTGGAGCTCCTGGCCCAGGACCCGAGGGCGCTGAGCTCAGGGCAGCGGGAGGGCCTCTGCGTGGACCCAGGGACCCTTCACCTGCCCAGCCCAGCCCCCAGCAGGCCCTGCGGCCCGGGGCTGCTTTCCTGGCTTTGTCCCTGTGCGGGCTGGGCAGGAACTTCCTCTGGAGAATTCCCGGATCCTCCCTGTGAGGCCACCAGCCGGCTGGGAGCGGGCGGAGGGAAGTCAGGGACGTGCAGGCCTGGCCAGGGGCCTTCCCGCCCCTGCCAGGTGCACAGACCTCCTGTCCTCCCGCCGACACCCGCTCACCGGCCCCGGAGCCCAGGGCGGCAGGCACAGACGGGGCCCCCCCTGCTCCCCAATCCCCCTGGCCCCCACCCCCTCCGCCAGCTGAGCTGCTCCGGTGCCGATGAGCCGCAGGGTCCACAGACAACCAGGAGGCCGGAGTCACACTGGGCTTTATTCGGACCTCACAGCCCCTCCGGTGTGGGACCATTTATCCGGCCCTGGCCCGGCTCCGGATGTTCCCACGGGGAGGGCTGCTCCGAGCCGCCGGCCGGTGGGGCAGACGCCCAGCCCCGCTCACTCGAGCGGAGGCCAGTCCCCCAGGTCATGCATCTCCTCGAGGAGCAGGCACTGGGGGCAGAGCGGGGGGAGGGCTCAGCGTCGGGGCTCCCTCTGGCTCTGCACCCCAGAACCTCCCACCTGCCCGAGACGTGCACCGAGGCCACCTTTCCCAGAGCCTCCCTGTCCCCGCTGACCCCGCCCACCCGCCTGGCTACTTCCTCCCACAGACAGATGGACCTTTCTCCCTGCAACTGGAGCGCCCAGCGGCCCTCCCGTCCTCTCCTCTGCTGGACACCACAGCAGGGGGCTCCACACCCGCGCTGCAGCCTCGGCCGGGAGGGTGTGGAGTAGTATGCAAATTGACCATCACTCCAATACACAAGATGGCCGCCCTCATGTGGTCAAAGATGGCTGCCCCCATGTGGACACAAGTTGGCCACCACAAGATGGCCAGCAGAGGGGGGCAGTTGGGAGGGACCAGGCCCGCAGGGGAGGGCAGTTGGGGGGAACTAGGCCTGCAGGGGAGGGCATTTAGGGGCAATGGGGCCGGGAGGGGAGCAGTTTGGCATTGAGCAGGCTGGCAGGGAACTGGTAAGGGGGTGATCGGGCTGGCAGGCAGACGCGGTTAGAGACAATCAGGCAGACAGGCAGGCGAGCAGTTGGGAGCCAGGCCTAAATGGGCAGTTGGACATCCCTTGAGGGGTCCCAGATCGGAGAGGGTGCAGCCTGGGCTGAGGGACACACACACACACACACACACACACCCTGCACATGAATTTCGTGCACTGGGCCTCTAGTGTAATAATGAAAAGAGTGGCCGTTTGGATCTGGGTGAAATGAGAGACAGAGACTGACGGGGAAGTGTGTGTGTGCAGGGGTCCGGGTCGGACTCTCAGAAATACCACCAAGAGGAAATCATGGCTTCCCTATAGGCAGTGGGGCGGCTGGAGCCGGGGCCGCGGGGCCCGGAGGCCTCCAGTCCCGCCTTTGCCAGAGGCATACCTGGTCACCCACAATGCCCTCCAGGGAGAACTCGGGCGGGACCAGAGGCGCCTGGCTGCCCATCCTCCGGCGGCGGGACTCCTGCTGTGCGGCCAGAAACTTCTTTAACTCTGACTGCACGAAACCTGAGGGACGGAGGTGGCGGGCAGGCGGAAGCAGGCCTGAGCACCCTGCGGAGGCCCATCCCGGCCGGCCGGCCGGCCGCCCAGCCACAGGGCTCTCCACACCCGCTCCGCAGACACCGGCTCCCCAGACACCGGCTCCCCAGATGCCGGCTCCGCAGACGCCGGCTCCCCAGACGCCGGCTCCCCAGACACCGGCTCCCCGGACACCGGCTCCCCGGCGCTCCCCGGGCTCCCCCGGCAGCGTGGGTGTCTCCTCAGCTCCTGGGAGCCGTGCGAGGACAGAGGTCTATTCCCCTCCAGCCCTGGGTCTGAGCCATCCGAACGCCCTGGGGGGTTCGAGTCCCGGCCCTGCCACTTCCTAGCTCTGTGCTCTCGGGTGAGTCACTGAACCTCTGTGAAGGGGCGAGGATAGACCTACCTCAGAATCCAGCTCATTACTGTGTGAAAGGCGCTCAGAGGAGGAGATGGCCCATAGGAATGATTATGTGAAGGTTGACATAATGGCTTCGTATGCTGCCCTCCCCACTCTCTCATCTGCCCCCAGGGACAGCCTCTGGGGCGCTGTCACAGAGCTGGAGGGGCCGCTGAGAGGAACCCGGGCGGGGAGGCTGGTGCAGCCGCAGCCCGGGCCACAGCTCTCACCTCCAGGAGGTGGGCCCTGCCTAGAGGGGATGCCTCCCACCCAGCCACTCTCTGGCCACCTGCCCGGGTGGCCATCTTATGTCCTATGGTGCCACCTGGTGGTACGAACTGGCATCGCACCCATGAGCCCACAGAAAACGGGGCGCCTGGGGCGTGTTGGGGGGGGCGGAGGTGAGGGCACCCCACTTACCCACTGTATCTATTGGCCTCAGCCTCTTGTGCAGTGGCGGCTGGAGGGTGACTGGGATACAGAGCCCTTCCTCCATTTCCTCTTCCTCGCCTTCCTCCTTGGCAGGCAGCTGAGGGTGTGCCAGGGCCCTGAGCAGTGAGCGGGGCCCAGCCTGCAGCCCCCCCTCCACCCAAAACAGAAGCCGCCGCGCCGCTCCCGGGTGAAGAGAGGGCTGCTCCCACTCGCCGAGCTCACGTCCTGGGCCCCACCCACCCACCGGGCAGGGCCCCACCCACCCAGGCCTCCCCTGGGCCCCACACACCTTGGCCATGGCCAGCTTCTGAAACTGCTTGTACAGGGTGAGGATGTGGTTCCAGGGAGTCGCCCCCACGTTCAGAGAAGCCAGCCTGAGTTCTCCTGTGAAGGGCAGGCGACCGTCAGCGGGCACCGGGGTGGGCCCGGCCTCGGGGGCAGGGGCAGCTGGAGGCTGAGCTGGGCGAGGCCGCCTGGTTTTCCTTAGCAAGCACCTGCTGTGCGCCAGGCACAGCTCTGGGCACTTTACAAAGGACATTTCATTTAGTTCTCGCAGTTACCCTCTGAGGTAGAAACTATGCACTCTCATTTTTAGATGGGGAAACGGAGACACAGAAAGGCTGAGCAATCGCACTGCCCCTGGGACCCCAGGCAGCCTGCCTCCAGCCATCCCCTAGGCTGTCCTTCCCGGCCCAGCCCTGCAGAGTCCTCAAAAAGAGGGCTGTTTCTGACCCCTCCCCACGCCTGGCCCCGCCCCACGCCTGCAGCCCACACTCACCATCCAGCAGACACTGCGCCTCCACGGCTGGGGCCTCCGGGCTGACCTCCAGTGGCCCCGTGGCCCTCTGCTCCACCTCCAGGGTTCGGACGCTGATCCTAAAGCAGAGTCAGGGGAGGGTGGCAGGCAGGGCCCAGAGACTAAAGGCCCCGGATATCCCCACATCCGCCAAGGCTCTCCCCTCATCCGCCTGCTCCCAGCTCCCGCTGGGCCTCGGGGGGCTTCATCCTGGAGGTGGGGGGGGGGCGGGGAGGAGACAGGACCAGGAGGAGAGGGCGGGGCAGGTGGAGTGGGAACAGTGCACCGACGCCCTGCAGGCACCTTCCTGGCCCAGCAGGACTCCTTTTCCCTTGGAGCCCCCTCCCAAGCCCTCACTTGTGGGAGGACCCTCACCCTGCTTCCTTCCACACCCCTAACACACCCCTCTCCCGGTGCCTCCACCCTGATGTTGTCCGTCCTGCCCACCCAGGTCCCTGTCCAGTGCTCGACCCTCCAAAGACTCCCAGTCCGGGCACCACCCCAGCATCCATCCAGGCCTTGTCCCAATACCTCTGCCCAGGCCCCTTCCCACACCCACAGCCCAGCCCCTCACTGTCTGGGGCCCCTGCCTCCTCCTCCTCCTCCTCCTCCTCCTCCTCCTCCTCCTCCTCCTCCTCTCCCCTCTGCGCCTTCTCAGACAGGGACTCCGGGCTTCCTCTGGGCAGCACGCACAGTACCTCTAACCCCGGGGCCATGACTCAAGCCCTTCATGGAGGGGTGGTCTGGGCCCCGTGCCCCCAGCCCCGAGGAATCACGTGTGGGAGGGCACAGAGGGGGCGCGGTGCCCTGCGGGCGCCTGGGCTCCTTCCTCCCCACTCACCCCTGGCCGGGCGTCAAGGACCCAGCGCGCGGCTCTTGCGAGGGGCCCTCCTGACGGCCCAGCAGGGGGCTGTGGGCGCTCTCCGGGCTCCCCCTGCTCCTCACCAGGCTGCGGAAGAAGCGGAGCACGGAGGAGCGGTCCCCATTTGGAGACCGCGGGGTTGGAGCTGGGCTCTCCATCCTGAGAGGGACCCTGACTCGGAGGGAGGGGCCGTAGCAGCCCCCCAGGACCAACTGCTTAAGAACTGGAGGTGCTTTCAAATTAAAAGCCCCCGCTGGAGACTTCCAGGAGTCCTAAAAGGGCCAGGGCAGGCAGGCGGGAGTGAGAGTGATGGGGGATGTGGTGGGGGATTGGCTGGGGGCAGAGAGGGCCGGGGGTGCTGAGGCAGGGAGGGGGCCTGGGGAGCCAGCCTGCGGGCGGCTGGTGAGGAAGCATGTGGGTGGGGAGGGGGCAGAGGAGGCTTGGGGCGCCCGGGCCCTGAGAGGGGGCACGGGGTCTAGAGGACTCTGCACACCCTCTGCACCTGGCTGGTCCTTCCCGGGCTGTGGCCGGAGGGCTCTCCCCTCCCCCTCCAGGCGCCCAGTTCGCTGGCGTCCAGGTGGGTGCACAGAGCTCCCTTGTTTTGTTTTGTTTTGTTTTTCCCCCAGAGAATTCCTTTATGGAAACCTTCATTAAGTTTTACCATGAAATGTTACATACATGATGGAAAATACACGCTGATTACACGTCAGAAAAATCCTTCAGTCGGCAAACTCATTAGTCAACAGAGCCAAACATCAACAGCACAACGATTAAAATTTCTTTTGAGAGCCACATTTTTAAACTTAAACTTCTTCTAATGCCACTTCTTCAAAATAGACTTGCCCAGGCCTTCCGTGGTATTTTTTTAAATATATATATATTTTATTAATATTTTTTTATAGAGAAGAAGGGAGAGGGATAGAAAGCTAGAAAATTCTATGAGAAACATTGACCAGCCGCCTCCTGCACACTCCCCACTGGGGATGTGCCTGCAAACAAGGTGCATGCCCTTGACCGGAATCAAACCCGGGACCTTTCAGTCCACAGGCCAACGCTCTATCCACTGAGCCAAACCGGTTTCAGCTCGTCTGTGGTATTTTGTGGAAGAGTCACACTCAAGGGGCCACAGAGCCGCATGTGGCTCATGAGCCGCGGTTTGCCGACCACTGCCCCATAGGGGACTGCCAATTCCAGGGACCCTCCAGCATTAGGATTCGACGGCAGGGCTCCTATCTGTCCCTCACACAGTGCCCGTTTCTCATTTCCTGGAGGAAACGATGGGGTTTTTATTTGTTTTGTTTTTAATATATTTTTATTGGTTTTAGAGAGGAAGGAAAGGGAGAGATAAGAACATTAACGATGAGAGAGAATCATTGATTGGCTGCCTCCTGCATGCCCCCCCCACCCCCGGAGATGGAGCCTGCAATGGGGCATGTGCCCTGAACTGGAACTGAACCCTGACCTCCTGGTTCATAGGTCAACACAACCACTGAGCCATGCAGGGCCAGGTGGGAATGACGTTTTTATGTATTTTGAACCAGCATGTGTTCTTTCACCACGCCAAGGTGCATCAGTCTCCATCATTAATTCTCACCAGGAACTGACTTCTAAACTCCCCCAGGTGCTCAGTGTCAGCGAGCAGCACCAGGTCCTACGGAGACCACGCCAGCGGCTGCCGCTGCCCAGTGCCATCAAACGACTGCGCTGCTTCACCCACACCCCCAGCTCGCTTTATCCGTGCAAAAAGCCGGCCCGAACTGGTGTGGCTCAGTGGATAGTGTCGGCCTGCGGATTGAAGGGCCCCGCGTTGGATTCCGGTCAAGGGCACATGCCCCGGTTGTAAGCTCAATCCCCAGTAATGATTCTCTCTCATCATTGATGTTTCTATTTCTCTCTCCCTTTCTCTCTGAAATCAATAAAAGCATATCTTTTAAAAAATTCAGCATGTGAGTTTCAACAGTGAAGAAACTTTGGCACTTTTGTCTGCTCTGACAGTTCAAACTGTTTCAAAATATTTGAGCTGAGTATCTGAGGGACGAAACTGTAGTCCGCCAAGACCGAGTCCACCTTCCCCTTATGCCACAACTTTCCCCTCCTGTTTTCAGCAAGATTAGCGGCTCCATGAGTAAATACCGGGGTTCTTCTTTTCAAATTGATCAGTAAACTCTCGCTCCCCTGCTCCCGGCATGACGTCCTGTAAGGCGGCGTGCTGCTTTGGAAGCTGCCCCCAAGCTCCTCGGAGCACGGATCCCTCACGTCACATCCATACCGACCCCCCAAACTTGAAGCGCTCAGCACTGCGGTGCCCAGTTGACCGGGCGGAAGCCAAGGCCCTCGCTGTGGTTCCAGAGACCACAGAGGTGCCGGTACCCCAGGTTAGGGCTGTTATTTCCCGGGGCCCCTCCGGACTGGATTATAAACCCAGCTGGGTGACGTCCAGGGAGCTCCTTCCCCCGCTGGCTCCTCCGTGCAGTGGGCCTCAGTTGGCTCCTCCGTGCAGTGGGTGCAGTGAAGATCCAATGAGAAGATTGGCTGGCCTGCGGGCAGGAGAAACGTCACATCCTGGCTTCCCACTGGCATTGACTGAGGGCGGAGGAAAGACCGAGGACGGGTGGGAAGGGCGGCGGGAGGAGGAGCCACTCGCGGCGGGGGCTGCGGGATGAGGGGCGAGCTCAGAGGACGCCGGGCGGGAGGCTGTACATCCGCATCCGGCGGCTGCAGAGCCACTTCCTCTAGAGGGAGCTGCCGGCTCCTCCACGCTCCCGACGCCTCTGGGTCGCCCTGGGACCCGCGGAGGCTGCATCGGACGCAGGAACTCGCTGACAGCCGCTCCAGGACGCCGGGCCCGGGCAGCTGACCCTGGAGCAGCCCCTCGGGCCCCCCAGCCTCGGCCCCACGGAGGTCCCCCCGGCCTAGGCCGGGGTCTGGGCAGGTAAGCCCGCAGGGACCGGCCCACCCTCTCCGATGGGTCCTGGCAGCCCCAGGCTCAGGGTGGGGCAGGGAGAGCCTGGGAGCGGGCTGGGAGGAAGGCTTTGCCCGGGCAGCTTCCACACACACACACACCCCCCCCCACGGGGCCGGATCCGGCCGGGCTGCCTCTGCCGCCCCTCTGCCCTGGCCCTGGTGCCTGAGAGCCGGGTGCGAGGGACCAAGCCTTTTAGCAGTCTGGGAGGCCGGAATGGAGGTCAGAGCCAAGGTCAAACTGGGGGAGAACTCTTTCTTTCTCTCCGCGCTTCCTGCTGCCCAGGAGGTCTGCAGCCCCACCGGGCCTTTCCCCTGGGGAACAGCCGGGGCGCAAACCGGTAGATGGGGTGCAGGGGACTTGCCTCACCAGGAAGTCATGCCTCTTGGCGGGCAGGGGCAGGCCCTGGTGGGCAGAGGCTTCTGGTCCTGGGGCTGTGCCGAGGCTCCAGCAGGGAGTTCCCAGGGCGGAGGGGGAAAGGAGGGAGCGGGAGCTGCAGGTGCAGGCAGCATCCTCTGGCCTTGCTGTCCTGGGGGGCCGGGTTTGGGGGACCAGGGGAGAGGCAAGGGCATCTTCTTCCAGGAGGAGCTGGAAGTGGGGGTGCTAGGCAAAGGCCTATTTTGAGGGGCACCTGGGGATGGAGGAGGGAGGGCCTGCCCTCTCCCCCGCCCACCCTGAGAAAGGAGAGCGAGCCGAGAGCCCTAAAAAACAGCCCAGGCCTGCCAGAAGGGGCAAGGCGGCGGCTGAGCCTGGCCCAGGCTGGGGCCTTCCCTCCCCAGGGATGGAGGGAGGGTGTGGGGGTTCGGGGAAATGCTTGGGTGTGCGGGGAAACGGAGGGGTCCAAATTGAAAGTGAAACAGCTCATGTCCCGGAACTAATCCTTCTGTCGATCGGGCCACGCTGCTGGCAGAGAAAATGGGCTGGGCAGGAGAGCAGGGTGGGTGAGGGGGCGCGGCGGAGGCAGGCGGGGCTGCGCTGGAGGCCTGGCTGCAGGCAGGAGCGGAGGACACGGCCAGGCCTGACAGAAAGATGCCCGGAGGAACGCCCTCTGAGGCCCACACTGGAAACTAAGTCTTCAAAGAGCTGAACGCACGGGCTTGTGGAGATCCAGCCACAGCCTCTGTGGCCTGGGCCCTCGCCTCCGCGCCTCACCCGCCGCCTGAGGCCCGGGTGTGAGGAGCCCGCCTGGCTGGGTGAGTGCCGGTCAGTGTCGGCACCGGCGGGAGCGCACAGCTGGCAGAGCACGCCATCGCGCTCACAGGCCTGAGCTGGGAGACTGGTGTGCTCTGACCAGCCAAGACGAAGGGCCTTTGAGGTCCTTGGCTGGAAGGTGGCCAGCCTGAGTGACCCTGCGACCCTGTGCCTGAGCTGAAATTCACTTGGGCAGCACAGGGGCCCTCGGCGGCCACCCTCCGGGGGCCCTGGACGCCGGGGTGCAGGTCCCTGCACGGGTCTTGGCTGCTTTGCTTTGCTCACCCCTGGGCTTCCCTGAAGAGTTGCCAGTGAAATGCAAGGGGCTGGAGCTCGGACTGGGTGTCCTTCGGGGAGACGGGGCCACTTGACCCCCGTGTGGCTGTGGAAACCTCTGGTCTGTGGCCCCCGCCTGTCCCCACCTTAGCTCTTTCTCACCATCCCACAGGCTAACACTGCTCTCCCCACAGCCTGAAACATGGCCTCTGGGCAAGGACCGGGCCCGCCCACGCAGGGCTGTGAAGAGGCTGCCCTGGCCGCCGCTTCCGGTAAGTCTTCTGCCCCTCGCCCACCCGGTGCCGCCAGGGCGCCGTGAGGACGGAGGGCGGGCGTGGACCCGACCCAGCGGGCCCCGGCAGGCGCTCTGCCTCGGTGAACTCGCCTCCACCCATGGCAGGTGCTGCTGGGCAGGGATTCCGGGAAGCCTGCGCTGGGCGGGAGGGCGGGAGTGAGCGGGCCCTGGGACGGCGCCATCCCAGTGCCAGGGCGGGATGGGCGAGAAGAAGGAAGAGTGGGCGTGGCTGGCCTGTCCGGGGAGGAGAAATGAGGAAGTAGAGGCTTATCACACGGGGGAAATGATTGATCCAGTCCTACCTTTGAGAGGAAGTAAGACGTCTGCCCTTCCCTCTTCTGTGGGGACCCGGGAACCCTGCGGCTCTCTCGCTCTCTCGGGCTGTTCCCTGGACTTCGGGTTCAGCCCCAGGTCTGCCCCTATGCCCCCATGTGACCTATGGCCCCACGATCCCTAAGGCGTCAGGACTGGGCCCTGGTCACACTAAACTCCCGGGTCGCCCTGGCCCCGCTCTGGCTGTGGGGCCTCGTGGCGGTGACTGCCTCCCGGCCCCGGGCCTCAGCCGCCTGCACGGGAGACCGGCCCCACCGAGCCAGCACTGGGCGGCCTGCCGCCGGGGGGACAGCAGTGAGAGCACCCTCCCCAGCTGGGCGCCAGCGCGGCTTCCTGCCTGACTCCGGCTTTGGTCCTCAGAGGAGCAGGTGGCCCGGGACGCCGAGGAGGTTTTCCGCAGCTACGTTTTTTACCGCCATCAGCAGGAGCAGGAAGCTGAGGCGGCGGCCCCCGCTGACCCAGAGATGGTCACCTTGTCCCCAGAGCCTGACAGGTGAGCAGCGCCCCGCGGGGACGCCTCAGGGAGGCAGACAGATGCCCACATGGGCCACCGTGGAGGGCCTGGGAGCCGGGGGCCCTGGGGGGCCTCTTGCCCTCCTTTCTCTCTGGCTCCTTATTCATCCCCCATCCCCCCTGGGCTCCCCCATCCCCCATCCCTCCGGGGCACCTTGTCCCTGGGCCGAGCCCAGCCCTGGGGTCTGAGAACACCGGGGACCTCCGGGGAGGGTGCACAGGCCAGGGCCACCAGGGCAGAAGGCCAGCCGGGAGCCTGGGCCCGGCCCTGACAGCTGCCCCTGCCCCCTTCTGCTCCCCCCCCCCCACACGCTCCCCCAGCACCTTGGGGCAGGTGGGTCGGCAGCTCGCCATCATCGGGGACGACATCAACCAGCGCTACGACTCCGAGTTCCACACCATGCTGCAGCACCTGCAGCCGACCCCGGAGAACGCCTACCAGTACTTCACCAAGATCGCCTCCAGGTAGGCCCGCCAGCTGCCCCGGGAGGGACACCTGTCCGTCAGCGTCAGGAGGCGTGTGCGCCCCACGCCGCTGTTGGCTCCCGTGCGGCCCCGGGTCCTCCTCTCCGGGTGTGAGCTTGGCCGTCCGGATCGGGCCTGCGGAGGGCCGGGTGGGCAGGTCCCCAGAGCCGCCCGCCCCGCCCCGGGAGGCAGCGCTGTCCTCATTCAGAGCCACTCCTCACCAAAGACAGTCAGCTGCCCCTGCTGCCGGGTCCCGGACAGGCAGCCGGGCGCGGTGGTTAGAGACCAAATGCCGGTCACGGCTCCGCTTTGCCACTTGCTGCCTTTGTGACCTGCCTCCCTCTGTCTCCTCGTCCGGAAGATGGAGCGGGCGCTCAGGACGGGGCGCACGCACAGGGGTTATCCTGTTACCACGGCAGGCGTGGAGCTGGGTGAGAGCAGGGGTAGCAGTAGGCTTCGGGTCCGGGGTCGTGCTCAGCTGGAGCCCGCCCAGGCCCTCAGAGGCCAGCCCCACCGTGCGATTCCAGGATGTGCCCTAACCTCCTCTTCTGTCCTTTTCTCTCTGCTGCCCCTCGCTGCCAGGCCAGCAGCAGTGCCCACAGGTAATGTCCCTGCTGCCTCTCCACTGCTCTGCCCTGTGCCCCTGCGCCCGTGGCGGGGTGGCCTGTCTGTGCCCTCTGAGCTCTCTCCTTTCAGAGACGCAGGCTCCCCCCGAACAGCAGCCAGGCGGGCACCTCTGCCACCTGACTCACCGCTAAACCGTGTTGCTTTCCTGCTGGGGCGGGCGGGGGCGGGGAGCAGCCCCCTGGACTCCCACTGACGGCCCGTGCTCTGCCCGCAGCCTGTTTGAGAGCGGCATCAACTGGGGCCGGGTGGTGGCTCTCCTGGGCTTCGGCTACCGCCTGGCCCTCTACGTCTACCAGCGAGGCCTGACCGGCTTCCTGGGCCAGGTGACCCGCTTCGTGGCCGACTTCATCCTGCATCACTGCATCGCCCGGTGGATCGCGCAGCGGGGCGGCTGGGTGAGTGCCCAGCGCTGGCAGCCTCCTGAGCTGCTGGGCTGCCCCCCGGAGCCCTCCCCCACCCCCAGTCCCTGGTGCCTATACCCAGAGCCAGCCCCTCTGCCCCTCCCTGCCAGCCCCTCTGACCACTCCCCCCCACCCCGTCTCCTGGCAGGTGGCAGCCCTGGACCTGGGCAACGGCCCCATCCGGAACGTGCTGGTGGTCCTGGCCGTGGTTCTGTTGGGCCAGTTTGTGGTACGAAGATTCTTCCAGTCATGACCCCGGAGGGTCCTTTGAGGTCCCTGCTGAGACCCCCGCCTGGACTTCGGCCAAGCCTTCTTCCCTCCCCTGTGCCCGGCAGGGGTCCCCGTCACGGGTACAGAAGCTTTAGAAGTGGCACCCCAGCTTTGAAGGGCCCCTGCCCGGGGTCGGTCAGGCTGCAGGGGCACCCCAACATTGCATGGTGCTAGTGGACCCCCTCTCTGCCGGGCTTTGGGGAGGTTGATAACTTGGGGAAGCAAGAAGCTAGGAGGCACTGTTCCCCAAGAAGTTTTGAATGGTTTTAGCTTTTTATAATGCCCTTAGGAGATCCCCAACCCCCCTCGTCCCCACCACTTTGCCCGAGCCAGGACCTGGGACGGGGTTAGCAGACCTCTCCTATGTCCCAGTTCAGCTGTTCCGGAAGGTCAGAGCTTGAGAGCTGGCCTGGAGCCCAGTCCTGGCCCTTCCAAAGCACCCTGTCCCCAACAGGCTGGCTGGATTGGGGGACAAGGACCGACTTAACTTCCCCCGCCCCACCTGTACTGCCTCTGCCAGCGGACTCTCAGGGATCAGGGCCCGGGTGTGGGTGAGGACGCAGCTGAGCTGTCTGACGTTATCCACCAGGTCCCTCCCACCTGCCTCCCGAGGCCCTCAGTCCGCTCCCTTCCCCTCGCCACTCGCCTGAGGCGTCACTGCTTGTGAGGCTGCCTGCCCTGTCACTGCATACCCGGGGTCAGAGGCCTCCTCCGGGCTGTAGGGTTGAGGACTGTGGTTTGTGAAGGTCAGGGAAGGGGCAGGAGAGGAGCTCACCTTGAGGTTTCTGAGAGGGGCTGTTAACATCCCAGAAGCCCGAGGCTGGATCCGCTCCCGTGGCCGGCCAGTGTAGTCTGGGAGGGAGAACTGAATACTTGAACTTGACCCCAAGCCCACCACCTGCCTGAGCCCCTGGGGCGGGGGAGAGGGAAGAGGACCTTGTCTGCCTTACACAGCCTGGGGGTGGAGCCCCCTGGCTGTGCCCCCCTCTGAGTGTCAACAATAAACTGCCTCCCCTCCCACTGGGAATTGTCGCCTGTCAGTCCTCTCTCCCACGGTGGTGAGGGAGCCTGGGCACGCCTGGCGGTCACCTGGTCTCTTGCTGAATCAGGTCTCTTGGGCTCCGGAACCCTGCGGAGGGCCGGCTGTGGTGCTCCCGCCCTCAGCGGCCTTGGCCCGGCCCATCTCCGAGTTCGTGAAGCTGGCGGACCCTGAACCGCTGGGCTCTGGCTGCTGCCGGTGGAGCAGGCACAGGCGGGAACCCGCTGAGTCCCTCTCCCTTCCTGGGGCCACCCCCCTCTCCTGGGACACCGCGTCCCCGCTTCCGCTTGCCTGTGTCCCCCAGCGAGCACACAGCTTTCATTGTAGCCGTTCTGTGCTGCAGGGAGTCCCGGTGAGGAGGCCGCGGGAGATAAAAATAACAAGCATGGGGGCGAGCAGATGTTCCTCAGGGCGCAGTCTTCCGTCCCGGCACCTCAGTCTGTTTCTGACTCCCTCCCAGCACGGTCACAGGCGGGCCCCCTGAGGGGGTCTTGCCCCCTTGTCCCTCCAGCTTGGCCTCAGCCTGAGCAGAGGCGGGACCGGTGGTGGCGCCAGGGCACCCCAAATCTGCAGAAAAGCCGCCAACACTGCAGGGCTCTGCTGAGAATTTCCCATCCACACCCCCCAGGCAGAGCCAGTGACATGGGGGGTGGGGGGACGCTCAAACACCCACTTTGCAGATAGGAAAACCGAGGGGCCTGCTCGGGCAGGGAAGGGCGGGAGCCAGCACTTGCCACATGATACTGGTTCGAGTTTTATTCCCAGGGAGGGGTGGACACGGGGAGGTGGGGAGGGTGCCGGTCTCCAGGTCTCCATCAGCCCCTGCTGGGCCTGCAGCCTCCGCCCGGAGCCCCCAGGCTGCCCTAGTCTAAGATGGCCGTGGCAGCCAAAACCGGTTTGGCTCAGTGGATAGAGCGTCGGTCTGCGGACTGAAAGGTCCCAGGTTTGATTCCGGTCAAGGGCATGTACCTTGGTTGCGGGCACATCCCCGGTAGGGGGTGTGCAAGAGGCAGCTGGTCGATGTTTTTCTCTCATTGATGTTTCTAGCTCTCTATCCCTCTCCCTTCCTCTCTGTAAAAAATCAATAAAAAATATATTTAAAAAAATTTTTTTTAAAAAGAAAAAGATGGCCATGGCCGTTTTGAGCGCTCAGACTGTCCGCTCCTGGGCGGGGCCTTGGCACGCCTCCCTCTCCTGTTGTGGTTTTTGTTGCTAATCATCACCTGAGGATACCCTTTCCATTGATTTTTTTAGAGAGAGTGGAAGGGAGGGGGAGAGACACAGCCATGGTTGCCTCCCGAACGCGCCTGATCAGGGTAGAGGATCAAATCTTGACCAGAATCAAACCTGGGACCCTTCAGTCCGCAGGCCAATGCTCTATCCACTGAGCCAAACCGGCCAGGCCCCGCAGGGCTTGCAGCCAGTGAGGGCAGCACGGCGAGCAGGCGCCTCGGAGGCTGGGAGAACGGGTGGGCAGTGCAGGGCTGAGGGTCTCTGTCAGGAGGGAGCTGGGGCGCTGCTAGAAGGCCAGGCCCCAGAGGTGCACCCTCTCTGCTGCCAGGAGGAAGTTTCCAGCACCCAGATCCAGCGACGGGGAGCGGAGACCTGGGTCTGAGGAGGCCACAGGGGGCTGTGAGCTGCAGGGAGCATGGGGTTCTGTGGGTGAGGAAGTAGTTTCTCCAAACAGCCTTTGTTTCTGCGGTTCTGAGACTGAGCTCCCCGCAGGGGTCTGGTCCCTCAGCCTGGTGCCGCTGCACTGGGTCAGGCCAACCGGGGCAGGGGCAGTTCTGGGCAGCTGCTCTGCTCGGTGGCAATTCAGGCCCCTGCCTGCAGGTCCCCGAGGCCGGCTCCGCCCGCACTGCCTGCGTGTTTGCTGTCTCACCTCTGAAGTGTTCATTAAGGTCACTGGGCGTGTAACCAAACTAATACAAGAAAATCCTATTTTGTCAAAACCACTTAGTGCACTGTTTGAACAAGTTTTTATTACCTAGCCATCTGAGTAGCATTAAAATAAATTAAAATTAATTTATTAGGCAATTAAAATCACGACACTACCATGTCATGCTCCAGTTGTACACACCTCAGATGTTAAGGTCCTTGATCTAAGACGCTTGTAAAATATGGGGTCACTCTAAGAACAGATGTTCATAATCTCGCGTGTGTGTGTGTGTGTGTGTGTGTGTGTGTGTGTGTGTGTGTGTGTGTTGGGGCGGGGAGCATGAGGGGGAGCAAGGCAGAAGACAGAGACAGAGAATGGAGCTACCAGAGACTGCCGGAGGTCAGGGGCCGGAAAGACAGCAGAGCCAGCTACTGGGGCCTGTCCCCACGCTGGATATGCTAGGAAGGTGGACGTTAGACTATGGGGTATGAAGGATGGGGCATTCCGCCTGCCGGATAATAAGGAACAAGTAATGATCTGGCCCCTGAGCACATGATGGGAGCAGGCCACCGGCAAACCGTATGAGTGATTCCATAGAGGGCCACGATCAGGGGAAGGGCCAATGAGGGCAGACTCGGGACTTCTCTGAAAAAGTCCCCTAATAACGAAGGGACTGAAGCCACAGAATCTCTCACCTGGAGTGTGGGGCTGGGCAATGGACTTGGGTGGCCCCACGTGGATGCCTGTGAGGGGTGTGTGAGAGCAGCTGGAGAGTAACATTGAGTGGGCACTGATGGTTGAACTCAGCATAGAAATCGAATGTCTCTCAGGCCCACTCACCTCAGTCTTCCTTTGCAATCTTGGAATCATTCCTGGTGCCCAATGTCTCAACTTTTTGCAGCCCTGGCTAAGAACATAGCACGCAGACAGTTCTTCAAAACTCTGCTCACCTGGCCGGCTTAGCTCAGTGGTTGAGCATCAACCTGGGAGCCAGGAGGTCGTGGTTAGAGTCTAGGTCAGGGTACATGCCCGGATTGAGGTCTCGATCCCCAGTGTGGGGTGTGCAGGAGGCAGCCTATCAATGGTTCTCTCTCATCATTAATGGTTCCATCTCTCTCTCCATCTCACTTCCTCTCTGAAATCAATTTCTTATATAATTAAAGCCTAGGTGGCGTCACACACAACATCATCACAAGATGGCCACCTGTGGGGGGCTGTTTCTGTCTTCCGCGACCCGCAGGAAAACGACAGGTTCCTGAGTGGAGGAGCTGGGGATTAAGAAATTAAAGGAGCCAAAACCGGTTTGGCTCAGTGGATAGAGCGTTGGCCGGTGGACTAAAGGGTCCCAGGTTCGATTCTGGTCAAGGGCATGTACTTGGTTGCAGGCACATCCCCAGTGGGGATGGGGGTGCAGGAGGCAGCTGACCAATGTTTCTCTCTCATTGATGTTTCTGGCTTTCTATCCCTTTCCCTTCCTCTCTGTAAAAAAATCAATAAAATATATATTAAAAAAAAAAAGAAATTAAAGGAAAAAAAAGAGATCAAGAGGCAGAAATGGATTCAAGCTGGGATCTGGGAGGGTGCTGTAACTCTGATGGAGAGACAGTCAATCACCCACCACAGACAACACAGCGCATTTATTCATTTCCAGAGGGGGGTTCAAGGTCAAAGACGTTTTGGGTGCGCCCAGGTCCTATTCATTCCCTCATTCCTGGGATTTAGCATATTAAGACCTGGGTAAGTCAAGGTCCTATTCGTTCCTCATTCCGTGCACATGGATAAAGATAAGAAATTGGTACTGATCGCAGTCTCCACGTTTTGGGAGGCTGTTTCCGGGGGACGGCCTTGCCAGTCACCTGCACTCAGCTGGCATTAATTTAAAAGTCATCCATGTGCATTCCCAAGGGGCCCTCTACAGCCACCCCCATGTTATCACAAGATTGCTGCCAAAGATAGCCAGCAGCAAAGGGAAGTTGGGGGCAATCAGGCCAGCAAGGAAAGGTAATTGATAGTGACCAGGCCTGCAGGGAAGAGCAGTTGGAGGTGACCAGGCCTACAGGGGAGG